TCCTCTATAGCTTGGCACTTAAGCTCATCCTAAATTATTTGAGACAAATTTCTTATTGGAAATACCTATCCTTCACTGTCTATGAAATACTGGAAAATTAGTAGCTTTAGCTCAGAAAAAATCTGATGCTTTGACATCCACCTTTAGCTAAACCCAGGTGGGAGGATATTGATTTGGTTATTTGCATGCTGGCATCCAGACACAGGGAAAGCACAGAGACAGAACTACCCTTACATATGCAGATAAAAGGGAGTTTTATAAAGGTTTTATCTTATCACAATCAGCTTTAAAAACATTGAAAAGCCAGAGAAAACCTCTATCAGTTGGATGAGATGCAAAAGCAGTCCCTGTCCCAGCTTTCTCTGTAGCGTCAGGGCCAGTGATTACAATCAGTCTCACTTTTCAGCTGCTGGACTTGCAGAAATCTGGCATCTCTCTTTCAGTCTCTAGAAGTCTTTTTATACCTGTCACTTTTGAGACTGGACCACTGGAGCCCCCTGTCTGCCCCACCTCAGCTCCTGATCCCCTTCCAAGCTGACCATATTCAGGAGCCATCTCCCCCCAAGGGCTCCACCTGACCCAACAGAGCTCCTGAAACACTGCTGCACAGAGGACACTTTTATTTTCTGATGTCCTGCTATAAAATACAAAAAAAAATCCTACTTGTATAAATTAAATTATTCCACCATTTTAAATGCATGTTATAAGTAGAAAAGGCAGGAAACTCACAAATTCCCTCACAAATGGAGGGAAGCAAAAAAACAAACTAACATTTCTCTGATCAAATCCATGGTAGATTCAGACATGTTTACCAGTGAACCTGGGATATTTCATAAATAGACTTATTTTTACTAAATTAATCATAGGTGCACATATAAGCAGATTTTTCAACCTTGATACCGTAAAGCAGTAGAAAAGGCAAGACTTGGCTATAAGCAGAGACTCACTAAACTTCCAAAGCCACTGTCAATGCCTTTTAAATCTCTAAGTGTCTTCCTGGGAAGAAGCAGACCCACAAGGGAAATGCCATTTAGATAACCATTCTGGTCTCTGCTTACTTCTGCCCAATATTTATTCTTCATTTAATTGTCAAAAAGGAAAAAGAAAAAAAATAGAAAGTTGAGGGGTGGAAATTATTTTGCTTCCTAAAATGTTTGTTAAAACACACCATGATTTTTCTGAAGAATTTACATTCACAACCAATTACCCTTTTGTATTTTTACAATAGTTTTCAATTTGATGTGGATGTAATCTTTTCATCAGTATTTACAAAGCCCCAGCTTGATAGCTGTATTTATGCTGCAGTTTAAGCTCAAAGAGAGCTAACGTTTCACAAATTATTCCAAAATAACAAGCCATCACTGAATTAGGAAAAATTCCTAAACCATGTGGCACAGACAGCTTATTATTTTAAAGATTTCTTTTTTCTTTATTAAAAAGTAAATAAAAATACAAATACATAAAAATGTATTTGTATTAAAATCAACCATAGGAATGTTCTGGATTTTTCCCTCTAGTGGAACCCCCACATTGACTCCTAGTCACATTCTGAATTGACACTTAGTGCAGACATTTACTGTCCAAAGGGACTCATAATTTTAGAGCCTCCAAGTTAGTCCAGTAAAAGAACAGAAAAGATGCTATCACTGAGTATGTGATCAATAATTGCTCCAGGAGCACAGCTCTGTTAGCCATGACTGCAAGCCAGTGTGAGACTGCACGGAGGCAGTGTCTAATCAATCATTTGTGCTAACCAGGGGCACAGCTCCTGCCAGGAGACACCACTGGCTGCTCCAATTAATGCCCAGGGATTACAGGGAAACTGCAGACTTCCAATGATGTGTGGCTGGTTTCATGTGAAAGACGTTTATTTATTTGTTTTACTTAGTTCTTTCCTTCGAATCATTGAAAAAGTTATTTCCTTAGGCTGTTGTAGCTTGTTCAGGAGCAAGTTTATAAAACCACAACAAGAAATTATACTAAAAATTTTGCAAAAGGAGCAAGATGCAAAGAGAAAATGAAAGAAACAATAGGAAAATAATTTGGGATATATGAAAATTAAGCAACTGAGCAATTCAGTGTACAGTTGAGTTGTTGATTACTTGAATACAAGGAAACAGAAAAAAAATTAGTTTTAGGAATAAACTAGACATGGAATTACTGGAAACAAAATGGAAACCAAAATAAAGAAGAGGAAAGAATTGAGCAGTGAGGCAAAATTGCTACCAATAAGGTGGGGGTACAAAGGACAAGATGAGAAAACAGGCAAAGCAGTATAAAACTAATGGGAAAGAGCAGCTTAATGTGGGACTACTCAGCTGTCCATTGAAAGCACTGCAGCATTTGTCCAAACACAACAAGCTGTGGACACCTGCAAATTAAAGTGCACAAACAGGCTGCAGTACATCAAACTGAAAGGGTTCTTGGGAAAGGGACAGTGAATGGAAACCTGAGAGACCTATACTAAAATACATATTTGGCCATTATCTTCCTATAAGATATAAAAAATGGAAATATAAAACCTCCTACCTTGTTGTGAGGATAAAACTCATTAATTATCATCAAGTACTCACACATTACATGGAGCACTGGGGGGGAGGGGGAAATAAGCAAGCAGAACATAATTGCTGTTGTAAGAAAAAGAGTACAAAAGGTCTATTACTGATTGATGGACTACAGGGTTACAAATTGATCATTTTATTTGAGACACTGAGAAATCCAAAGGCCAGAGAATGATTGGCCTTCATGTGCTTCTTCTTTTTTTTTTTTTTTTTTTTTTTTTCTAAGTACAAACAAGGCCAGTCATTAGATTGGAAAAGGCCAATATAGACAGCAGATGAAAAATGAGAGAAGGATCTCCTGAATGGGTTATGGGAATGGGAAGAAGGAAAGGAAACTGTCCTGCAGCACATAAACCTGAAACATACACAGAATTTAAGAGGACTGCTCTTCTGAAAAGGCTGTAATATTCAAAGGATGAGTGGAGACAAAAACCGGCAGGAAAGAACTGTGAGACTGATTTCTTCTGATTCTTCAGCATCCAAAGGTTAAGATCTAAAAGGATCTGTTACAGGGACCTGTTTACAGAGAAACACACACCTAGAAATGATTCAGTTCAGATAACCCTAGACATCTGTCTCAAAACAAACTGAACAGCTCCCTAGAGATAACCACAGTGATTAGTTTAGATGTCTAATTTTAATAAATTAATTTCTGCTACTAATTATTCTTGATTATACTCAAAGATAAATATAATATCATTTCCTGTGAATAAATGAAGGCTTACAGCATTGAAGAGGAAAAAAGTGTGGACTTGTTAGATACAGAAAGGAATGGATTGCAAAGACAATTTTACTAATCAGTGCTTCAGAGATGGTTTTATTGAAATTTCTAAATATATAAAGAAAAAAGCTGTCTCAAGCATTTTTTTTCAGTCAGGAGAAGGGAAGAATCTGTGGTGCTTACATACATAGTTGAGATCTAGATGAAGGTCTTCTCAAAAAAAAACACTATCAGATTACTGACCATTGTATCCTTATCACTTCTCAACAATAAACATGATTATAAACTTCATTCTAATGAATGTTCAGAAAGACATAAAAATAAATAACACTGAAACAGAAATAAAACAGTATAACTGGTCTAACAAACTTTGTTTGTTTTGGCGTGTGTGTGTACATTTTTATTGAAGGGAAATAAATGACCTGAAGAAAATAAAATATAAATAAAAAAAACCAAAGACTAAACTCTGAAATAGTATTTTCTTTCCTGCCTTGCCTAACAGATTTGTATTTTGGTTGTAGAAGTAGCAATCTGAAGACCTGTCCCAGTACTACTTAATCCTAACAGATACACCACAGTTTTTACTTCACACCACAATCTACCATTACTATCTGGTATATTGAGATTAAAAATCCAATATTTCAGCTTTGTATTTCTGTTTCCAGAGAAGATTAGCACCTGCCATCCAGTGAATTGAATGAGAACAGAATAATACATTTCAAAATTAAGTTACTTCTAATGAATTTGACTTGAATCAGGAAAACTCTAAAACTCAGGACAGCAGTTTGTGGTATCTGAAATGAAGTACTCATAACTCTATATAACCTTATAAAATAGTTCTGCTTGACATGATCTATGTACCTTCTTTAATTGCCTTACAGCAGAAGCATCCATTAAATAGTGATGCCATCAATCTCTAAAGTATACTTGATTAAAAAGTGCAAATGAAGCATGCTGGCAATTCTGATTAATACATTTACAACATTTTTCTATGGTCTTATAAATTAAATCTATAATGAAGACAAGCAGTTGTATTATCTCCAGTGAAGGTGAGGATAGCTTGTATTGTCTCCAGAACACATAAAGATTTTTAATAGTTAATGTTAGATAGGAGATTTCAACCTTTTTAAAGTAAGAGTTTTAGTAAACCAGGAATTGAAGTATCATACATTTAGTCAAAATCTTGTGATTAGATTTCCAGTTTTCCCAAATATGTGACTTTTCCCAAGTCACATAAATGATCACAATGTGAATGAAAATAATTATTCAGTAACATTTCACATCTTTTCCTCCTCATGTAAAAGATTTATTACAAAGAATACAGAACAACACCACATGATCTTGGAAAATAAGGTCAGAAAATGATTCCTTCAAAGTGAACTGAATTATTTACATTTATCATTTTGATTCTCCAATCCTATAATTATGATTTTATTACGTTTTAAAAAAGTGAATTATACTGCTGTCAGAATCTTCATTGTCCCAGCACATTTTCTGCCTGACCAGTAATTCAAACTGTATGAAAGGAGACAGACTTTGAGAATTAAAACATAAAATATTGTCTGCTCTTGAGGAAACTTTTAAAGACATTTTTAAGTTTTTGCTTTTTTTGCTTCTGCCCAATCTTTAAATGATATTCTTAAAGTTTCATTAATGTTTTAATTCCCCTAATTTTCTGAGATTACAGGCAAGGAAATTAAATGAAACATATTACTTACATCATTCTGATCGTCTTTTGCATTGTAATAGATTATATCATTATTCTGTAAGAGAAAGGAAAGTAATTTTGTTAGTTTGAAAGCAGAGAATAAATTTAAGTAGCAATAATCTCTACTACTGCAAGATACATTTTTGAACTAAACCACCAGTTCTTTATGTATTCTCTTTGAAACATGACAAACTCTGATCTTTGCTTGCTCTCTGTTGCACACACAATTTCCCATGCTCGTGCTTAACTTCATTCATTTAATGCTCCTTCCGTGGGAGGCAGCAAAAGTCGCTCAAAACACAGCTAGAAAAGTGCAGATAACATTGGACAAACTCCAGAGCCCATAAAAGGCTTCCATGAGCAGTTTCTGTCACAGACATGTGACTTTACTGTGCAATTAGGGGGTTTATGCACCGTGACATCCAGCAGATACAGCCAGGCACGGGCTTTGCTAAGTGGGGTAAGTGCTTGCTGTACACATGTTTATTGTTTTATTCACCTCCCACTGCGAAAATAAATCTGTGAAAATACATCACAGCAGAGTCTGGCTGTTGGAGTGTGCAGCAGATCCTGGCAGCTCTGTGGAAACTCTGCACCATGTAATTCAAGCAAAGCATAGAAGGACAACATTGCTCATTCCCATTCTAAAACCAGTCAGAAATTTCATTCAGTACTAACTTCTATAGTTTGCTGAAAACTGGGGTACATCCTATGCAATACAGGTTCTTGTGTTTTCTTTTTTTTTTTCCCATGTTTAAATATAACTGAACCATTTAAAAGCCTTGAAGACTTAGGTCGACTGGAGTAGTTTTCCACAAAATAAATTGCTGCAACGTGCCCAAAGTTTTTTGAATAAAATAGCTTTTAAGTGCATTTCTGTATGAAATAGAGACATGTATGAACACAGCCTTTTAAATTATTTTTACTGATTTTGAAAACCTAAAGAAAAGGAGAGATTATATTTTTTCATATCCAGCAGTGTGCTTTAAATAGGTGATTGCTGTTGACCTCCAAAAATTATCATATTTTTAATTTCCGTTTATGGTAATACCTTCTATGTATCTAAATAAAAAGTTAAACGCAACAAAGAGTTTTCTTTTATAAATACCAACAGGAAAGAATGCTTTCAGTGATCATTTTTCAAGTGGACAAGCCAACAACAATTTTTACTTTCACTGAAAAAGTATGATATGCATTACAAAGTAATGCAGTTCATCTTTAAAAATGATCATTTTACTCACTCCATAAATAATGACATCACTTATTCTCCTCTGTGACCTTTTAGAAAGTCAAACATGAAATATATTACAGATGAGCTAAATGCCATTTTGAGGGAAGTGCTATTAACACGAATTCATCCTTTTCCCTCAAAATGAACTTTTCCACTTTTCCATCAGGACACTTTTCTATCCATAGGTCAGTTGGTTGAGTATCTGTATCTGGATATCAAAGCCAGACCTCCAGGCATTGCAGACACAGGAGGAAATCCTTTTCATCATTAAAGACTAAAGCTAATTGCTTATTCACTTGATTGTTGCAAGGAAAAGACCACACAATGTTTGTGAAAGCCTTTGAGTAAGTCAGAAGAGGCAAAGGTTCTATTTCCTTTGGTTCTTCTTCACTTTGTAAATAGCTATGTACAAAATAACTGTTCTGTAAATAAAGTGATTGGTTCAAAAGCCCCTGATTCTTTAGCAGGCAACATTTAAAGCTGCAAAGGATGCAGTCACAAATATTAACACAAATGTTTTCATCATATGGAGATCTGTTTAGTTAAAAAAAAAAAAAAGAAAAAAAAGAAAAAAAAAGAAAAAAAATTGTACATTTTGTTCACTGCATTCTGCAATTCTCATCCCTAGAAGGTTTTGCCCAGGAAAAATGAGAGCAGGAAAAGCAATGCAGACATAATTAACTGGCTATATTGGTTTTGTTTACAGCTTTTGTTTTTAAAATGAACACCTTCATAAAATACAATTTTTATTAGGCCCTCTCTTGTGTTGACTTTCATCTAGACATGAGTTTATTTCCTGAGTCCCCCTCCACTGCTCTTAGTTATCCTGCTATCAAATCATTATTGTATAGGATTTTGAACACTGTCATGACCAGACACAATTCTCTTTATGTACTTCAAAAAAAATACCTCTTTATTTTCCTTGTCTTTTATATTTTTATTTATTTGTTTAAATTTTTCAAAGCTGCCACAGCCTTACTATTTATCTCTACTGGATTGAACAGTATTTTTTAAATCTCCTTTTAGAATACCATTTCAGGAACATGATATATTTAAAAGTTAATGAAAATAAACACTTCCTGCCCAAACGACTTAGATATTTTTGTAAGGTTATTCATATCTTGTTGTCCATTACCCTGCCTGGAGATATTACCTATATAATGAATAAACTGACACTGACATTGGACATATCTCACTACTCTTAATACAGAAAATATGAGATACCCAGTGCTACAACACACTGAATGCTGTACGGTTCACAAATTAGATTCATGGATCACTCAGATCTTTAGAGGACAATTTTTCATCATTTAACCACTTCCAGCTGGCAAGAACAAATTGCTTTGTTGCTGGCTCTCAAGCAAGTAGTTTAGTTATTTATTAACTTCTTGACACAATGAATTTGAATTTTCCCACTGCTGCACACTTTTGGCACCACATAATACTGCAGACTTGGTCAGCAAACTGAAGGTAGAGTGTAAATAGCCTAGATTTTTATTTTTGTTTTTTATCCAGTAATTCTGTGCAAAGAAGGGGGTAAAGACTCACTATTACTTCTTTTCACCAATGAAGGGATTTGGTAAGGCAGTCCTGAAGCCGAACTTATAAAAGAATGACTTTGGAAGATCACATGCATATAGGAAAAACTGTAGTGTACTATCAATATATGATTTTATGGTTTTCACCATCTTTAATTCTCCTTCCAAAGCAAAACTTTTAGTATCTGAGAAAGACATCAGGAAAGCCATATAAAAATTACATTAAGGACCAGGTCATAAATGTTTTTGACTCTTACTATTTATTTTCTTTCCTAATCTTAATTTTTCTTCCATGCTTTCACTGATAGCATTGTTGAAGTGAGATTACTCCACTGTCTTTAAATTACTTTTCATTTCAATAGCTCTCTGTTTTCCAGCTCAGGGTATAAAACAATTCAAATGGGAAACATTACATATGGGGTATTATCAATAAATTCTTAAATCTCAGCACACAGAATCTGAAGTTGATGGTCTCTATAATCTCTGTGTCTAGAGAAGAAAAGCACGGGAAAACATTGGCTTTCAGAAAATCTGCAGATGAAATTCAAGCTCACACCAACACTAACTTACACTCATATTTTGCTTCTCTACAGAGCAAGTTCACAGACAGTCAATTGTTTCAACACATAAATGCCAAGGTTCAGCTCAGGATTACATGAATGAAGCTGTAGTTGGCTTTTCATCTCAGGAAACAATGCTATTTTCAATCTAGTTCTTTCAAGAAAAACAAGGGATTATATTGCAACAAGACATATGGACACTACAGAAAATGATGTATTGCAAAAATTGTAATAGTATATCTATGTCATTTTGCTGACAGGAAATCTACATCCTCCACCACAAAGTGCCAAAAAGAAAGCTACAGGTCATTGCTGCCATGTATTGGAGTCTACAGGAACACTTCCTCTCCAAATCTTAAGCAAGAATTCCAAGAAATTTTCATGCAGTTTGTGCTCCACCAACCAGTCTAAAGATTCATTTTTGAAGTCTTTTTCAACAGACATTCAATGCAGTCTGTTCAGAAATGCTGCTTTCACTGAAGCTGGGGTTAAAATTACATAAAACCTCAGATCAATCTGTGGGCTTCCTGAAAACCCTACAGGACCCAGAGCCTGTGATGCAGCCTAAAATGGTGTTGGACCTGCAGGGGAGATTGGCTTGAAATCAATTCTAGAACTTTATGAGACTCTATAATGAACCACAAGAAAATAAATAAATTATATTTTTTTTTTAAAAAGGGGGAGAGGGAAAAAGGTTTGCTGCAGCTTTTCCTATTGTAAGAAATTAATATAATGTATTAATTTTGAAAGATATCACAGTTATCCTTTTTTCATCAAAAACTGCACTTCCATAATTGTAGGTAAAATGTTAAAGAAAAAAAAATTACACTTTTAGCTATTACAGAGACACTAGAAAATCATTAACTCCCTCATAAAAGAAAACAAGAGCTTCAGTTAAAGGTTTCCACAACTCAAAGATTTTCTTTAGTAAACTCCTGGAAGTAAACTTAAAATTATTGTATCAGATTCTATTGCAAATACAGATTACTGCATAATTATAAGTACACGTTTTAAAATCTTAAATTACAACCAAATATGTTTATTTGGATTTTGTTTTAAAACAGGATACTTCCTGACTTATATATGACTTATAAGTATTTTACCCAAGAAGTTCTAAAGCACTCAAAGTGAGTCAATGTAAAAAAGCTGCTCTAAATTGCAGCTAATCTGCAAATAATGAGGATTCTTTTAATTTGCAGGTAAGAGGTAGAGAAATAAATAAAATCAGGGAGAAACCAAACCATACAGCAAATAAAAGTCTGATCTTGACTCTTCAGTTTTTTAAAAACAAGGTCTTAGAAAGGTCTTACAAATAGAAATTCGGTCAACATTTTAAAATCATATTAGTCCCACACACTTGGAAAAGACATTCAAATTACTGAAAAAACTGGCAGTCCTTTTATTTAGCACAAAGCAGTAAACATAATAATAATACTGGTCCATTTCACTCTTTAGGCAGACCAAAGGAAATTAATGTAAATGGCTCCAAGTGCTAAGAAAAGCATTTCATTAAGTGTTGGCAAAACATTCATTTTAATTAAAAAAAAAAAAAAATTCCTTGTATCCCCTTGGATAAAGAAGTGTATTTAAAATGTTCACTCTAATAACTTTGGGGTAATTAAGGTTTAAACCCATCCTCACAAATTCTATGAAAAATAATCCAGGCAGTTTAAATTTAATCCTTTATACAGTCTGACATGCAGTTTAAGGCATAATAGACACCTCA